AGCTCAACCTTTCTACCGACCATCTCACTGTACACAACACCAGTGATAGTGATTGTTATAGCGAGGACATAGATAATTCGACCCCAAGAATTCGATTCATAAAAGATAATGTATTTTAACTACATTAATAATTACTTTAATATTAAATGCAATATTTTGATGAACTTAATTAAAATTGCTTCTGCTACATAAAAAAAAAAAAATTTAAATGTTGCTAAAACATTGGTAAAAAAACATCAGAATCATGGCACGCAGTTGGCGATCTTCACAAACTTGTAGTCGCTTAGTCCAGGGACAATGGTGTCTTTGAACATGGTAAAAGGAGGTTAAGGAATTGCTATAGCAGTTGCAGGTGCCCAGCGGCACTCATGTTATGAAAGGGTGTCGGGTTAAATATTGTATGTTTTGTTTACCACCAGCGTCTGGTTATGTGTGGCCGAGTTGAATCGGAAATGCCTCTGTTTCATCAGATCGATTCTGATCTGATATAGACAGAGGACTGTTGCTGCTTACTGTGCCTTTAGTTACTGTAGTTTTCAAGAACACTTCCATGCATATAAAGTAACCAGAGGTCAAAAAACATTTAGTTTTCTTTCATGTTGACAACCTGCATTATAACAGGCCATTTGACATACAAATATAATGTGGAACAAATGACGGCTCTATTTGTTGTCCCGTTTTTGCTTTCTCCGAGCTTGTGATTTGTCATTTTAACACTGAGATATTGATCTCATCATTATAGGCAAGGTTTGTTCACGTTTCTTCAATGTTGTGATCTTTACAATAAATGTTGGTACTGTCATCTTGAGTTTTTGTGTGTTTGCTTTTGGCAGTGATTATAATATGGTAATTCAGTAATGCTGTATTATGCAATTGATATTTAAAAATAACATGACAACACTAAATGCAACTTCATCATATGATCTGCTAAATATGATCACAGTGTCAATTTTGATCAGTTTTAAGTTAAATTAACGCTGAAGTATAATTACTACTCTGAAGAGTGCGATTAAACCACAGTGTTACATATTTTTACACATTTTTGTGTTAATTTTAACACCATTTTTAATAGAATTTACTTGAAAATTTAAAACTGTCCACAGAGTAACTTTCCCAGTATTTTTGAGGGGGACCAAACATGATCTAAATTGGAGTTAATTCAACTCTGTGGGTGTTAATTTAACACATTTATTTACAGAAGTGATGCACTGAGAATATGTAAATTACAAAAAGATTCAGCTTACAGCGTCCTGTGGGCAGTGTTTTGTGACTACTAATGAAGGGCTAGAGCAGGGGTGCACAACTCCAGTCCTGGAGGGCCGGTGTCCAGCACAGTTTGGAGGTTTCCCTACTGGAACACACCCACTAAACCTGGCAATTATCAGACAAGTGTAATCAGGTGTGTTTGAGTAGGTAAATCACTAAACTGTGCTGGACACTGGCCCTCCAGGACCGGGGTTGTGCACCCTGGGCTAGAGAATGAGTAACACAAACTGCAGTAACAGCTGAGCTAACATCTCTGACTTTACATCTGCAAAGTGGACCACCAAGGTAGGAGTGTCTGAGGGGACACAGTGTTTAAACACTCCAGCAGCACTGCTGTGTCTGATCCACTCATACCAGCACAACACACTAACACACCACCACCACGTCAGAGTCACAGCAGTGCAAAGAAAGATCCACCACCCAAATAATACCTGCTCTTTGGGGTACTGACCTTTGAAGAACAGGGTGAAAGGGGGATTTTAAAAAAAAAGTATGTAGAAAAACAGATGGTCTACTGCCTGTAATCATACAACTACAAAGTGCTCCAATGTAGTGATTGTATACATGGAGGTCTTCCTAATAAAGTGTGCAACGAGTGTATTTCACCAATATTTTGTCGTCGTCATAAGTTCAAGCTGCTTCACTGATCATAAATATGTTTTGACAGTCATTTTATTTCAACAAACCTTGTATATGTAAATGTGGCTTCTGCAGTGCTGATATTCTTGTATTATAGTGTGTGCAGTAATTGTGTACTGTTTATTTTTTATAATTCTTATTTTTTAAGCAATGCAAATTACTCTCAAATTTCTCAAATTATAATTGAGTTTCTTTACTGATTACTTTCTGGAAAAGACATTTCCCAAATTACCTAAGAACTTTGAAAGGCAGGGTTTTTTTTTCTTATTTCTGACATGTTTATGTAACCAATAGAAAAAAAATCTCATTTTTTCAGCCATGAATTTATGTAAAGTTTCTGTAGTCCACACAAAGATGCAAGCAAACTACATTTTATTCAACTTTTGCAAACCACAGAAAAAACGACTTTATCAATTCACTTTGCGTTCATTTTCAAATGCTACAGACTTCCTATAACATTCCTATAGTCATGGCAAAGATTGACAAGAAAGACAAAGTTAATTTTGTGATCTCTCCAGTTTAAAACTGTTTACGTAAAACTCAATTATAATGCACAGTTTAATTTATCAAAGGAAAATTACATATTTTCTATTATGTTACATCAAATTTCTGTAATAGTCTTTTGTGTAGGGGTTTTAAAAAATAGTGAAGCTATAGAACAGCTGTAGACTTTTTTTTTACAAAGACTTTACAGACTTTATAAAATCATAGTTTTTATTAGCATTTTCTTTAATAAAGGTCCAGATTAAGTGTTTTTTTTTATGATGTTACACAATGTTTTTACTAATTCCATAAATCTTTAAATACAAGCTTTCGATCAATTGTGTAACACTTTTGATAATTACTATAAAATGTGTAATAGATAAATGACAGATTCTGAAACCTTGTTTGAAAAAAAAAAAAAAGTCCTAGTTCTTGAGCTGGGACTTGGGCTCTGGAGTCCAGGAACCACCCCACTCTAACCTTCCTCTAAAAATGGTTTATTAAAATTCATTAAAATTTTAATTTAAATCTTAACCCTACTGAACAAAACCTTAATGACCACAATTCTATTGATGCAAACCCTGTTAGCCGTATCCCCCTGACAATAATACTATTGAAGCAAACCCTACTGACCATAACCCAACTGATGCAAATCTTACTGACCATAACCCTAGTAATGCAAACTCTCCTGACCATAAAATGATTGCAACAAACCCTAATGATTGTAAACCCACTGATGCAAACCCAATTGACCGCAACTCTAGTGATGAAAGCCCTGCTGACCGCAACACTCTTGACTCAAATCCTACTGATGTCACCCTGTTTATACAAACCCTAGTGACTGTAGCCCTACTGCCACAAACCTTACTGACCATAACTCTATTGACCCCACTGACTGTAACTTTAGTGATGCAAACCCTACTGATCATAAACTTAGTGACACAAAACCTGCTTACCACAATCCTAGTGATGCGATCCCTAATGAAAATAACCCTATTGATGCAAACCCTATTGACTGATACCCTAATGACCATGACCCTAGTGATGCAAACCCTACTGACCATAACTCTTTTGATGCAAGCTCTTCTGACTCTAACCCAGAGAGGCCATCCTTTCATACAGTAACACTTGATGTAAACCATACTGACCAAAACTCCTATTTTACACTGAGGAAAATGTCAAGGGGAGGATTTTGCCACAATACTGAGTAAGACACCCTCAGGACCTGATTGTGTGTATGTTATTACCCTGTTCAATCTATCCTGTACTACCACAAGTCATATAATGAACAAGTGAAAAAAAATGTGCCACAAGACTGAGCAGGACACCTCAAGGCCTGAGTTGGCCTATGTTGTTCACCTATTCAATCTCCTCCACACAGCTGCAAGTCAGAGAACAAACAGGTGTGATACTTCAGTCAGTCCTAGGTTTAGAGTTGTTTCTGTTATGTTTTTGTAATTACAACGTTGCTATAGCATTTATTTACTCGTAGATTTTTTTCTATTGTTTGTTAGTCTTTTGTTTTTAAAGTCTGAAAGATTTTAGGACCCCTCATCAGTTAGGATCACCTCAGAATCAGGTGTTTTGGTCTTTAAACACTACACCCCTGTCTGAGCTGGACAGACATAGGTTGACCATACCTAGGCTTGTGTCCCATGCCTAATTAATGTATTAAATAAGTGTTTTTTTTTTACTGTACTAAATCATATATTTGTCTTTTATCTTGTAGTAGATACATTTAATCTACTCTGGTAGAAACCAGAAGCTAAGGGACCAGGGCCAGCCATGAGTGGATTACTGTCTCCAAGATCCTTTAGGACCTGACAGGTGACAGGTGGTTGACTCCAAGAACACAATTTTGAGCTTGATTTTGGAATTTTTTTATTGGAATTTTATCTATTATTTGGAAACCATGAGTGCTGCAATTTTGAGGTGCAACGCAATGTTTTGGGGATAATCAACTTTGTAGCAATCCACCTGTTTTGTTTTGTTTTTTACCCTTGTACCCTGTTCCCATCATTTTTCCTGAACTTTAGTTTGCGAAAAACTGTTCCATGATACATTCGCTTGATGTGATGGTGCATGCTTAATCAGCTATAACCATGCTATGTACTGAACATTAAACGTAGTTATGTAATAACTGAAGTTCATGGTGAGGAACATGCCTGAAACCCCTCTTTTTTCTAGTCTAAAGACCTATACATTCACATCCTCACCTTCTGTTCCAGTGATGAAGTTTTCACAATCCCCACTGTCATCCCATCACCCCCCTGTTCTTCAGTCCAATATCAGTCCTACCACAGCGATGAGGAGGGAGTTCGGCCTTCTAGTTACAGGCAGAAGCCACCCAGAACACCAGCCGAAGTTCTCAAAGTCCCCCCCCCCAACAAATCAGTCTTCCCTCGTGCTACCACCACCATGTTGATGGTCCGAACTCGCAAATTGTGGTTAGTTTAGCTGATTGTGTTTATCACACCTTCCTGTGCATACGCTGCTTTTGGATATAAGTCTTTCTGTGAGGAAGATGAACAATGTAACCGAGGTAAAATGAGAGGTGGTGCATTTGGAAGTTTGGACTGGAGCAGGCAAGACAAGAACAGCTAAAACAAAAATGCTTTCGAATAAATTTTATTTGAGTAGCAATTTTTGCAACAGACGTTGTCAGCAGCTTTACAGAATCCTGGATCCAGACTCACTGAGAGGAGACAAGGGGAACCCATCTTTGTCTGGTTTTGGCCTTGAGTTTGAGGAAGGGGCTGTACAAATTCAAACTCATTATTATTATTATTATTATTATTATGTTATTATTATTATGGAATACCACAAAGGTAAATCAGAATAGTTTCAATGTTATAGAGCTATACATTGTAGGGATGGCTGGGACAATAGTTAGTTACATATTCTGTATCTATGACATAGACATTGTCTAGAGGGGACATAATGCCTAAAGGCCTTTTCACACCAAGTCCAGGTTTCAAAGCCAAAAAATGGCATGTCAAGTCTTGAAAATGCAGACATTAACATTGTCCTCTGCATCTTCTTCATGCATTCTTGACTTTAAATAAAAACGTACATCAGACTAGATGTGAAGGTCTCAGTGCATTTAATCTGTGAAAATCAACTCTTGTGAAAAGACTTCACAATGACTAAACATTAAACAACAGTTACTCAGGAGAACTCAATGTAGTGTGTGTAAATGAAGTAAAACCAGGCCTGGAGTTTTAGATCACGGATCGGTGCACAGAACTTCACAAAATGTAAAGAAAAAATGATACATTTTAGGGCCATCATCAATAGATTTTGTTAACTGATAAGTGGTCCCAGCCCTACTTTTAGGATACTATTGACTGTGGGATGGTAAAAATATGAGAAATTTCAGTTTCAGGAAAGCACCATTATTTCAAATGATAAAAAATGATACATAGGTCATTAAACAGCCTTCTGATCAATCTTGGACAGTGGGTAGAAATGCTTATACTGTATTTTAGTTTGTTGTTTTTTTTGTCAAGTTCACCATCATAGTCACTGGACTAATCATCATCATCATCATCATCGTCATCATCATCGTCATCATCATCGTCGTCGTCGTCTTCATCATCGCGCCGTCATCGTCGTCGTCATCATCGTCGTCATCATCGTCGTCTTCATCATCATCATCATCCTCCTCCTCCTCCTCATCCTCATCGTCATGATCAGGGTCAATTTCATTCTCCAGAACATCCATCAGCCAGTCCTCCAGCTCATCAGGTGTTGGCATGTCATCATGGTCGTCCATCTCCAGCCATATACTGTCAGCCTGCAAATAGGAGATTTTTTTTCTTTATTTTTTTTTCCCAAATAACCCATCTTCATTAAAATTTCAGTAAGGCTTTATGTTAAGGTCCTTAACGTTAACTCATTATAATTAACAATTAGCTAATATTAACCAATTTATGCCCATTTATAATTAAAAATGAACTCAGATTAACCTATTTATGCTCATATATATATATATATATATATATATATGCTCATATTTTTCATTTCCTCTGCTACAACACTTCTTAGAGCTTCATTGAGCACAAATCTGAAAACAAAATCAAAATTTGTTAAACAGTTTGGGTACTGCATCCCATTTAAATAAAAAAAAAAAGAACATGAAAACTTAGATATAACCCACACATGTCAGGCTCCAGGTCCTGGCAGGCCAAAACAGCAGGTGCTACCTCATTAGACAGACCTCATCAGCTAATTAACAAGGCTTTCATTGACTGAATTCAGAGTGTTAGATGAGGGTAAATGCAGTCTCCGCAGCACTTTGAACCAGAAGGTCCCCAGTTTGACAAACCTGAAATAGCCTTGATATGGTATATGTATAAAAACCAACATCTGAAGAAAAAATGTGGAATCCTTGCCTTATACTGTCTTAACTTGTCTCACAAAAATAAGCACACTTGAATTTTCAACTAGATATAAACACTAAAAAATGCAGCTCTTAAACATAAAAAGTTAGTAACTACGTTAGCTTGAAATGTTGAGTTCGCTGAACTTAAAATAAGTTCACAAATGTAAAACACATTAACTTAATATTACAACTCGAAGTTTCAGAGTTAACCTGTTTTTTTTAAGTTTACTGTCTGCATTTGTTTTTTTTTTTACAGCAAATAAGTGGTTTTAAACCTGTGGGCTGTGTTCCTCCAGTTGGTCTTGGCGCTACTGTTAGGGGGCCACTGGCAGTCATTTAAATTTTTTTAAGCTGCAAAACTTTTGTTACAATACAAATAATCATCATAAATACAGCAATTATTACTGTTTTAATCATTATTTACAAAAGGAGAACATTAAAATATGAGCTCAGTGATTATACAGTTAAGTGAAATTCAGTAGGCTTTGATAGACGTTGACCCGGTTAAGTGGACTTGTGGGCCGTGAAAGCTTTTGTTGTCGGCTGAGTAAACAACTAGCTTGGATTTAGAGAAATTAAATAATTCTAACTTGATTATGTAAGTGCATTTAATATTAAAACAATAAGCTTTCAGTGTACTCACATCTTCAACATCCACCACACCAATCTGAGGTGAGGACAGGTCAATGTCAAAGGTCTTCTCCCAGTAGGGGACAAGCTACAGGTGACAGAAACAGTTTTGTCATCACTCCTTCAAATTATCACAAGCAATCAACCTCTTGGTCATTATGCGTTTCACTATTTTCAGCAATCTGGACTCTTTCAATTCGGTTGAGGTGGCTGAGATCTCACCAGGGGGAACTGATCAGGGTCAATCCAGATGATGCTGAGGTTTGGATTGGCTGAATTATCCTCTGCTACCTCCTTTAGGATCTCCAAGAACTCAAATCCATCTGGTGGTGATGCAGAACAGACATTACATGGTTTATGCTTTAGCTTTGCAATACATAATTACATTTGTGTGGCTCTTTGCAGCAACTTGCCTTGAACTATTAGCCTTCACATATGTGAAGTCCCCCATATATCTAGTTCATTAAAGGTCAGGACCTCCACAGGACTACCACTGAGCAGGTCTTATTTGGGGCATGGGTCATTCTCAGCATTGCAGTGAAACTGACATGGTAGTGGCAGTGCATCAGACAGCAGTCCTGCTGGATTTTATAAATACCTCAGTATTACTGCTGGGCTGTGAAAAGACCACCAAACTAAAATATCCAGCAGCATCCTGTGGCCAGAACCTGATCACTAATGAAGGACTAGAGGATGACCAACACAAACTGTGCAGCAACAGATGACCTATGATCTCTAACAACATCTTTACAGTAGGCCAACAAGGTAGGTGTGTCTAATTGAGTCTGATCCATTAGTACCAACGCATCTTTCACTACCCTGCCAGCATGTCTGCAGTGCCCATATAATACCTGCTCAGTGGTGGTCCTGCAGTGTAATAATGCAAGATGTGATAACAGTTAAACAGGAATAAGAAAGACTATTTTAACTGTTATGGTTTAAAACATCAAATAATCCTTTTCCAATAAATGTCACTGCTGTCGGAAGAAAACCTCATATCTCCATCATGCTCAGAGGCCTGGGGCCTCGTGCAAAAATCCTGCAAATGCCCTTAGACCCCAGAGGGTTAATTTGTCAGCTGTCTGTATATTTTATACTGAGATGGCCACAAGTATTGTAATTTTGGCAGTTAGCCACACTTCCATGTGTACTCACTTCCATGCACTGGTTTTATCAGACAGATGTAAGTTAAACAGCTATTTATCAAGCTAAATGTTAAATGCTTGGCCAACTAGACTCTCTGGCAATGGTCATTACGTGAACGTGGCTCGCAAAAGTAAGAAATGTGTCACTTCCAGAATTTTACCAAACATTTTACCCATGTCAGCAGTAAAAATACTGGCCCTAATCCTATCCTAAAAATACCAGTACTAGTCTTATCCTAATCCCCATTTCACCTTTCCAGAAGTTCAAAACATACCTGGATCATCTTCCTCAGCAAAAGCAATGATGTGCTCTCCATCTATATCATCTTCCTGAGAAAGAAACATAAACATTAATCCTTTTGTTTTGAGAAAAGTTTGTCAAACAAAACAAGCTTGCTGTTGATATTGTTTAGTACTATCAGGTGGATCGAAAGCTGCCAGTATACTTCAAGTAAAATCGAATTCCCGCAAACATGCACTTGTAAATGTAGCAGAAGCAGTTAAAGCAATTAGTGTTATAACATGCGTTATCTTTTACGAACGGAATTCTTGGGGTCGAATTATCTATAAGGTCATCACTATACTGGTCACTGACACTGGTGTTATGTGTATGGCGAGATGGTAGGTAGAAAAGTTAAGCTTCGCTACTAAAAATGATAGAAAGTGTGAAAATTGCTATAAAAATGATCTTTGACTGTAATGCTGCTGGCATGGACCACTGAGTGCACTGACGAAGTAAGAACCCGTTTTTTGTTTAAACCGAGGGGCTGGCAAATTATGTTCTTAACTATAACTAGGCTGGTCAGTTAGCTAACAGGCTAAAAGATAGTTAACGGCCTAAGCAACTCCATCATTAATATCACAGGCTTGAATTAAAGTACTTACAGTGTGATTAACTGTAAAACAGCAGTATAAAATCTAAAAATATCACTTGAATGACTTTCACGGTTTCAATATCCATGTTTCAGTCAGAAGTGGCGTCAAACCCAGGCTGAATCCCAAGACGGCTCCGTACTCACTAAATAGTGTGCTAGCTATGAAAGTTTAGAAATTCTAGCCTCTACAGCCAAATAATGCATCATTTATCGAGTGTGGATGTGGCTGAGACCCAAATGACTATTACTTAGCAATATTTTGCACCGTTGGGGTTCAGGATTTACTATTTAAATTCCAACGTAGTGTACTAGCTATGTAGGGAGCAGGGAGCCATTTGAGATTCAGACACAGTTAGCTTGGTGCTAAATACGACTTGGTGGTAATTTGGTGACCAAAAAGTACTAATAAAGCGAAGGTTTTTGCATTGAACAGTGCTGTGTTATCATATGTTCATTGTTATACAGCAAAAAGGTAAGAAGTTCATGAAATGACTGCAGCGATGGGCGACAGAATGTTCTTCTACTCATTCAGCAGCCCATGATTTCTTGGTAACGAGACCATACTCGGAATACTTGTTTATGTTGATTCTTATTAATAAATGTGTATTTTATGATATTTTATGTTGGCTTCACATCGTGCCTGAGAACACACGATAAAGTCGCAGTAACACAGGGTCTCTCGTGGCTTATTGCTTTAATATATGTGGATTACACTTTGTAAACAACAGCTCTTATAATTTGCTCATTGTCTTAATATTAGCGAGTGATTGCCTTTCAATGGGAAACAAACTGTTTGACTGCTGTTTACACTTTGTTGTACAGGAGCTGAGAGCTGTAGTCTGTACCTATTTATGACCCCAACGTTTTGTTCTTGTCTTTGTCAAGTATGTTTATTTCATTTTTGACTTTATTAATGTCTTCCCATGCATTTCGATAGTTTTAGTGAGCACTGTTTCTCAATGTAACTATTATTGTTGCCTTAGTAACATAGCAGAAAATGGGTTCTTGTCGGTCAGCTGCATGGTAAATAATATCAAATCACTTCAAAACAAAGTGATATAATTTCATATTCTTATGGTTTCTAATCTATATGATCACTCTTTTTATGGTCACTGGTGTTCTGTGTATGGCTTACCCAGATCTCATACATGTTGTGTGGCTTCAGCTTCCGCAGGGTTGGTCTGAAATGAAGTTATATTACTGACTCTAATATTCATATAGAAGATGAAAGAATGAAATCAATCTCAACATATAATTAACTCAAAATGATTGCACCTAATATTGTCCTCGATAAAGTTGACCAGATCCTCCTCAGAGTAGGGTTTTCCAGGGACACTGAAAGGACTGTGTATGAAGGGCTCATAGAAGTCCACATCATTCATGTCTAGATTTAGACTCTTAGCAATCTGTAATAAAGAGAAAACAGTTTCAAGCGTGTTTATTTGCTTAAAAAAATTGTATGTATGTATATAACCTTATAATCCACATTAACAGGACAGCGCGCTATAGGCGGGATAGGCCATTGTCTAGACCATCATTGCTCTGGACTGATGAAAAGATTGAGAAAGTATTTGTTTTCTTAATGGAAATGTCTCTAGTCATAAAACCAATTGATGTCAATGAAGCAAGGTGGGCCCCACCCTCTTAGAGATCTGATAGGGGCGCATAGTGCAAGGCACTGCCCCCTTTAACTGGAATGATAACTGCTAATGTCATGATCATGCCTACAGACCTGGGGGGATTTCTCCGTTAGCCTGATTAAACGAGCCTGTCCAATAGGACAATAGCTAAGGAACATTTCTTAGGAATATTCTCAACTTTTGGCTTATCCAGCTCACTAAGAAATCCCACTTTGTCTAGGACCCTGGGCCGGCCCTGCGCATTTACATATTTTTTGGCTTTTTTGTCCATCAGCTTTTCAGCTCGATGCACCTGGTTGCAGTTATTTAAAACAGTAGTCAGTTACCTTTGAACTAAAGGTGGCAAAGAACTTTACGTGAGGATGGAACTCTTCTGCTGTATCCTTGAACACCATATAGGCTAAAAATGAACCAGTACAAATAGATTAACTTACATTTGTCGTTCAGAAACGTGGAATATTACGTTGGCTGTATTGGTACGTACGTTCAGACCTCACATTCTTAAAGTACCCGACTAATTTCATGTCCTCTTCAAGACTTTTGAAGCCCTTCAATTCATTGGCATTATCAATGATCTCGACTGGCTCGTCTATTACCTGGAAAATAAACAAGAAAGAAAAAAGAGTTGAGCAAGAAGCTGAGGAAGTATAGTTAAAGTGGTGGGTAATTCCAAATTAAAAGAATAATTAAGGTTTTGATAGGAGGAGGGACCTTGGTGCTCTCTTTGGCAGAAATGGAAACTGTGCTAGATATACTGAATATGTGACTGTGAAATAACTATGGTAAATAAATTGGTATTCATCAATAATTTTGTCCCGATTTATTGATTTTGATGACTGGCGTATCATCCCAGTCCTAATAATAGTAGTACAAAATGATAATATTAATACTACTACTATTACTACTCCTAGTCCTCCTCCTACTTCTACTAATAATAATAATGATATGCAAGGAATATGCATTTTTTCTCACGCACATCATAGATGAACTCCACCAATGTGTCTGCAGCAAGTTCTCCATCATACTCAATTACTTCATCCTCAATAAAGACATAGATACTGTCAGACTCCTCCAGACCTGTTGTGAGTAACAGAGAAGCAAGAACACTCATTTAGTGTGCAAAATACCATAATTTTTTCAAAAATAGTAAGAGTTGCTAGGCTATCAACCAATTTGCTACAGCGCCACCCTGAGGCAGACCAGTGCTGCATCTCTAGTTAGTTAAGAATACCAAAGACAGAAGCTCGCCGATTGTGGGTGAAGCAGCTAAACAATGAGCTTTACTTGAATTTGTATCTGCATCTGTTTTTCATGAAACATCATATGTTTATTTTCAAGGACACCCCAGAATTTTGATTTTGAGATATTCAGGGGGTCTAAAAGATTAATTAGGAGGTCCGGAGCCCCCAGGACCCCCCGTATTTGGCACTTTGTACACCGTACAGTGCCCTCCACAAATATTCGTACTCCTGGTAAACATGGGCTATAAAAAACGTTCTTAATTGCTTATCATTTTCATCTTTGATTCAAAATGTTGTAGCATTCACAGCTATTAAAAGAGACACAGCTTTTGCACAAGTTGTGGTGCTTTATTTTCCAGCTGTTGTCGGCCACAGCCACGCCATACATAAGCGAAGCTTTTTCCTTTCTAACAACTAACTCTCCATCCCACTCACATCTCTCTCTACACATTCTCCAATCAGAGTCTGTAGCAAAATGAACCAAGTGCAATAAATGCTGAAGAACATATAACCTGAAACTAACATGTCAAGACATTTCTTGAACATGCTACAATATTAACAACAATCCAACATTTATTTGATGTACAATGGTAGTGACCTTATCATGAAATAAATATTTTTCTCAAATCTGTGTGCCACAACTGATGGCACCCCTAGAAAGACTTTCGAGTGAACTCTAAATGAAGTGCATTCCCATTCATATTTTATGTTTTAAGGTTCCCACACAACAAAGTTGCATCACCACAAGGATATTTCTCAGCTTTTTTAGCTTTGTTAGGGGTTATAAACATGACTTTGTTTTTGGCATTTATAGGAAAGCTGTTCAGGCTGTTTTTCTAACAGCCTTAAAGTGCACTTACATTTTGCGTGCAGTTGTGATGTTAGCTATTAATATTTGATCATTCTTATTACATTTTACACAAAAGTCAACAGTGCTTTTGTAATTATGCATGTTTTTTGCTTATAGGCAGGATTAGTTACATTTCTGTTTATACAGCAAAAAAGAGCCTTATTGCACACTCAGTCAGAGACACAGTTATTTAAACCTAATTTATTGCTTTTCATATCATCATCGCAATATCCAACAACTTTATTGGACGTTCCACATACCATTACATGTGAATGTTTTACTTAACATCTTCTACACTTTGATGCACTGATGTCTTTTCACTGTAGAAATAAGCACAGTATGTGAAGTCTGTGTATTTATCATGTGTTGTCTTTCAACTGTAGCAATTACATTACCTCTGAAGATGAAGTGCATCTAGTTAAGTCAAATCAAAGTTTATTTAAATAGTGCTTTTTACAACAGGCGTTGTCACAAAGCAGCTGTACAGAAAAAAATCTGTCTGTCTGTCTATCTATCTATCTGATTTTCTGTTCAGTACTAAAAATAAACAAAAAAATAAATAGATTAGATGAATAGATTTTCACATAGAAAATCAACATAACATGTAATTTGACCATAGGTTGTTCAATAATATGCATTTAACTGAAGCTAAGATGTTTGCATAGTATTCAGTAAGTGTACTCAACAAGTCTTCAGTGGAAGTTCAAGCTTTTACTTGAGGCCAAGTTTAGCATGAGCACTTATAAGGACTGCAGAAGTACCACTGAAAAATTATACTTGAAGCCGCAATTGATATTTCATTGCTTTCAAGTAGAGGTCAGCGATATGGTGTTTCTTGATCCACAATATGTCAAGATATATATTTTTTTCTGAAATCTGATATTGGAAAAAAGTAGAGCCACGTTACAACAATAGTATCAAAAACTATGAATACAATAATTTCTATTCAACATTTCACATACTCTGCTGAACTAAATCGAATAATATAGGACTAATTATGCTCTCTTTGCAATCAGATGTGCAGTTGTGAAGAGTATTTAAATACTGCCAATATCCACAATACTCTAAGAAAAGCATACTGTAATATAATGTGATGTAACGTATCATGATAAAGATAAATATTGGCATATTCCCCAGCTCTACTTTCACACTGCACATAATAATGATCTTTGCAATAAATTATACAAATAAAATGTCTAAAAAATGTGTAAAAAGTTAGAAAGTGTGCACAACAAGGTTCTATGGAAGCTAAACGTGTTATGTTAGCAACCTACTACCTAATTTCCTGGCGACATCCCTGCCTTTCTTCTCATCAAGTAAGCCAAATCCAATATCTTCATCATCAAGGTCCTCTAGAACTTGGGCAGCAAGCTGTGAAATGAAGCAGATATGATCAGAATTTATTTGTTACAAGTCTCAAGACTCTGTCTCAAACCTTTATTAAATATTATCTATTAGTCTGGAATACCATATCATCAAAACTGTGACTGTAAATAGTACAAATGTGTAATAAAAGGTTGAATCTGGGTTTACATCAAAACATTTTAATGCAATGAAATCTAAACTATATCCTATAGTACTTTATACAACAGTTAATTCCAGCCACGCAGGCTGATTGGTTGAGAAGCGTTCTAACCGTGCTGTTATTTCGCCATAACAGCATGGTTTTTTCACAAACACTATATCACTCCACTGAGATGCAGTAACTAAGCAACGACTTTGACAGCTGTAGGAGACGCTCAAGCCATTTGAACGTTTTTACTTCTTACTTTGCGCACAAACAGAAAATGGACACTTTTAAGATCACATTTGACCGATAGCCGATTTGGTCAGACTCTGAAGATGAGACAACACTAAATTCCCAAACTGTCATCACCACTGAGCAGCTTTTCAGTCAGCAGCTGTGACAGAAGAGCAGCTAAACAACCTGGAATCAGCCAGAAATGAACCGAATACCATTCGCCAAACTAAATGGGCTGTAAGATGCTTTACAGACTGGCTGGAACAAAACAACATTAATGCTGATCTGGCAAAAAATGACAAAACTGAGCTAAACTTGATATTGGGGCAGTTTTATGGCTCAGTCTGTACTTCAAAAGGCAAGGCTTACAGCAGACTGTGCAGCGAGTGAGCGGAGTTCGTTACTCTGATGTAGCAACAAGCTGCTTGTTAAGGAACTATAATTTGCCGGAAGGAATTGCGAACATTAAAACATATTTAATGCCACATTTACAGCCCAATTTATTTATTTCTTACTTTTATTTATTTAACTGTTGTATAAAAGCAATAGAACACTTGAAGACGAGTGTCATCGTGAATAACATCACAGCTGTGATGATCTACAGCACTCGCCTTCAGATTGTGCCTGCAACCAAATCACAGCCATGATGTTATTTCGCGATAACACACTCCCTCTCATGTTCTATTGCTTAAATATACACACTATAGTGCTTTATCATGACACAAACATCTTCACTCACACAAACACAAGCTTGTCTTTCCTTTGTTCTAAGCTGCAAACATGAAATGAATATGTGTTACAAAATAGGCTCTGCAAAAAAAAAAGTTTTGAGTATTTGGAGACCTCTCTGGTGGAAATGTGTAATTGCATGCAACATAAGTAAACACATTTTGTAACAGTGGTTATGTATCAGACCCCTTCCCTGAGCGGATGACTGATGATTGTGAGCATGTTGAAAGTCTATTCAAAGAGAACTCGGTCAAAACTTAGTGAAAGATGTGTCTTTTGAGGACATAAGTGAATGATTTACTGTTGTCCTCACATATTCATCAGTATAATGTTGGTTTTGTATTTGAGACCTAAACATTGAGCCACACCTTCTTTTTGAGCTTGTGTGTGTGACGTGAATACTTCTTTCAAATTAAAACAAAAAATCGGACATTGTGCAAATCGGACATTGTGCTTTAACATAGCATGATTGATGTGAAGCTCTCCCATACGAAAAAGTATACTTAAAGTTCATTTTATTAAGTAAACTTAAGTAAAGTTCAAGTATATTTCCCAAGTATACGTTATGTTTTAAGTATACTAATATCAATGTACTAGTGATATACTTTGTGTACTATTTCAGTACATATTGGGACTAAATTGGCCCACTTTTTACTTTATAAAAGTATACTTTGAAGTATACCACAAGTAAAATTTTAGATATCCATTGACCTGACTGCATGTCTTTGGACTGTGGGAGGAACCCAGAGCACCTGGAGAAAACCCACACAGACACAGAGAGAAGAGGCAAACTCCACACAGAAAGGACCCTGGTTACCTGACCGGGGAATCAAACCCAGCCCCTTCTTGCAGTGATTATACTTAAGCAAAGTTTAAGTAAGTATAAGTGAGATGTACTTAAGAAAAGTATAAGTATTTAGTTGAAAAGATGTATAATAATAGCACACTTGAATTAACTACTATTTTGTAAGGGCTGCTCTTCCATAACACCTTTGATTCTTTTTTTAGTCTGTGGTCAACTCTACAAAGTAGCTGAAGTTTTGTTACTCTGATTGAGTGAACAGATTCCATCTCAGCAAACAGTTATTGTCGTTCTGCTACACTAAAATGAAATGTAACCTGAAATGTAACCTACATCCAAGTACTTAGATATTGCAAACATATGTACATTTGTGAGATCCTGATTCTTCCATCTTTTATTATGCGTCTTTGTATCCTTTCAGTGCTTCTTTCCCTCACTTCTTAGATTCTGCCTCGAAAAACATGAACAGAAGATGCAAAGACCAAGGAATGGATGCCAAACGTGTACAAGAAGGGTTTGTAAAATTAGATGGCCTTAAACTCAGTCATCACTTTTATCACCTATTACTGGGCTGAACAGACCTTCTGGTATTAACACCCAGTTAAAAATGAAAGTTAACTCAACTTAAAATTAAAAGGAAACACATTACACTGCTTTGCTTGGGTTAACTCAACTTGACACTAGTGTTCACCCAACTCAAACTTCTTATTTGAGTCAAAAATTCACCTCTCATTTTCAGTTCTGCGTACTGGTTAGGTAAACAGTATAGAACGTGCATTTTTCACTCAATTTTCCCACTAGCTGGGACTCTTCCCATTAGACAGCCCCTCCACGCATTTTCTCGTCTTGGGCTCCCAGTTATGGATGGCTATGGCATCACTGGGGTTCACACTCAATCTCCTGGTGGGGTGAACGCTTAGTGCATGGCACCACGGTCAAGCTCCTGAAATTACTCAGATTTCTGTGTCCTTAAATATTTACCACACTGTAAAAATATTTGTTGTTTTAACATGTGGTGCAGCGGTCTAAGAATTCACCCCAACATCAGGAGATTGTGAGTTTGAACCCAAGCTATCGCACAGCTGTCCATATTTGGAGTCTCAAGAGGAGAAAATTCCTAATGGGATTATGTGACAAAGAATCCCAGCTAGCTGAGGAATTGAGTAAAAATTCTATACTGTTTACTCAACTGAGAATCTAGTGATGAAAGTTAGAAGAACTTTTGACCAAACTAAGTTTGAGTGGGGTGAACTCTGGTGGCTTCAAGTTGAGTTGACTCATAAAAAGCAGTCTAATCAGTTACCTTGTCATTTTAAGTTGACTTATCATTTTGTACACTGTAGCTGGCAGTGTTCAATGTGCAATGTACGATATTCACATCAAACATCAGAATGGAAGCAGAGCTAAACACAACAGTATGAGCAGGGAGAAATGAGTAAACTGGGTTTACAGGTGGTTTTGTAGACCCTGCTGTGAACATGGCTCACTAAAAACATTATCTGTTTTTTATATGGTGACATCTTAAACAAGGTAAGATTCTTATTTACTTTACTGCTGGATGTGCATCCAAGGAATACCTATATGTCTCAAGGACACAGCAAACAGATGTATGGACGTTCTGGCAGGCGCAGTTATTCTTGCTAGGGTAGTTTTTGTTTGTCAATAGCTGATCTGAAAGATTACGAACACTGTTTTGAAGACAGTTTTAATGAAGATATTATGATGTCGGCTCAGAAGAAGAAGCAGGGAATGCAATTTTTTGCTCCAGGAAAATGCTCTTTTATTGAACAAAGCAGAGACGGCCACTCAGTAACAGTGAAAATAGAGGGGGAGGTCACCTCTAGCCATTTAACATCCACTGACAGTAAACACTAAACCCACACTAAATGACCTACAGCATAACACAATAAAACACAGCCAATGCATAAACACATCTCAAACTAACAAACAACATTAACAACAGCAACAACAACAACAAATGTCCCCTTTAATGGAAGATGCGGTGTGGGTGCCATTTGAGCTCTTCCTGAAACATGGAGTGTGTGGCAGATGTCAGAACATGATGGTGGGACAATCCATATCAGCAATGTGATGTGCAGTAGTCTCTTTACACAGTTTACACAAAAAAAAACATCTAGTGAGATACAGTTCTGTGGGTGGTCATTTGAATGCCACGGCCTCTCTGAGTATTTTTCCTGACCATGTTTATACCTTCTGACCGTGGTTATACCTTCATGGTAATAATTTACCACAATGTATCTAGTTCTATTCGAGTGACTACTTCCAGAATGATAATATCACAAAGCAGCTGTTCCATGAAAATGACAATGAGTTCAGTGTACTTCAATGGCCTCCCCAGTCCACAGATCTGAATCCAATAGAGCACCTTTAGGATGTGGTAGAACAGGAGATTCACTGCATGGAGGTGCAGCGGACAAATTTACAGCAAATACACAATGCAATCATGTCAACATTAACCAGACTGGAATGTTTCCACCAATTGTTGAATCCATACCAAAGATAATTCAGGCTGTTCTAAAAGCAAAGGGGGTCCTAACCAGTTGCAGAAAGGAAAGAGGTTTCATTCAACTATTGCAGCCCAAGTGTTCTATGGTCCATTTTTGCCTGTAAGGAGCATTAATGATCCTTAATGAAAATTATTCTTATCTATCTGCATCAGTATATATATATATATGTATATATATATACATGTGTGTATATATATATATATATATATATATATATATATATGTGTGTGTGTGTGTGTGTGTGTGTGTAAAGTTAAGTGTGTTTTGGTGGTAGACATCACTTAGTTAACTGCTAATTTAAAATAATAGGATAATAGCATATATAGCGTCATCAGAGGGATGATGGGGAGAGACGGCAATCCTCGATCTAAAATAAATAATGGGTTGTGAGCAGGGAGACAGAGTTCAGACTGTTATCAGAGATTGTGCTGCATTTGATTAGCATGGCCAAGAACCATCTACTTTGAAAGGCAACGGTCATTTGATTGATATGCAAAACAACAAAAATGTATTTGACATGCAAAATAACCAACCACAGACTGTTGTTTTTGTGAGAGTGTTTTTAATGAGGAAATGTATTTGGAAGCAGCATGTTCAAAATCCAATTTTTGATATTATTCACTGAACATATAATGTACGTTTCTCAATATAATAGAGGATAATGTTATTTTTTTTTAACATTGAAGAAAGATGAAGTAGTAGTTGGCAGTATAGCTGTTCATCTGGTACACCAACTAAAATTCTTCTCCAGGTACGACTTCATAACCGGTCAGAACTGTTACACTGGTATGTCACAAATAAGCACAGATAAAGCAATGTGCAAGCAGTGCAAACCATGCTAACGTTAGTCCGTTTAGCTGAGTGACTGAGTCAGAGATGTTTCAGTCACGTTTCAAATGAAAATGAAACCAAAGCAGACCCTCCCACTGTCTAGTCCAGTGCTAGGGACCAGTCATTCCTTTATGTTAAGGGACCTCCCAGAATAATAAGCTACTGTAACCTGAAAAAATAAGCGTCTAAAATGGTTTTATTTGAAAAAATATATAAACCATGATATATATCAAAACTATTCGAAATTGAAATTATTCCATGACATATTTATGATGTAAACTGTTAGCCATACTGTCCACTCCTGAAGCAACATGGGACCTGAAATCACCTGTCTTTAGCTTTTCTCTACAGCTTCTTGACAATTCCAACTGACTTCTCCACTAATCCGTTAGATTGTGGAAAATGTGGAATGGATGTGGTGAAAATCTTTGTTGTCACAGGTGAACAGATCAGCACCTACTTACTGATACAGTCTCTGAGGAACTGGGTGTGGAACGAGTGGCTCACTTGGACTCCTGAGCTGATATTTCAGGCACATCTGGCAGGATGATACATCATCTGAAATATCTTGATTGATTTTGGGGGAGAACATTACTTCACGAGCCCATCTCTTTCAATTCTCCATGCCCAAATGTCCCTCATGGACTCTCTCAAGCATCAGTTTTCTTAGACTTTTTGGGACGACTATTTTGCTGCACTTGTATACAATGTCATCAACCACAGAAAGTTCAGCTCTACAGTTCCAGTGCTCTTGTATATCTGAGGCACACTGTTTCCTCACCTGTGGCCATCTGGTTACCACAACCTGTTTAAGTTGTTTCAGGATGTGTCTCTTCCTGAATCAGCTGCATTTTTGCATCTGCAATAGGTAAAGATGAAATCACCATCCCCACAAAGGCCTGCACTTCTTCATTTGTTATGTGGATAGATGAGGCCTGTGGAACTACAGCTGTAGACAGTGTGTCTGCAATATACATGAACATCCCCAATGTTCAGGACGCATTCAATCATGTCCTCTGCCGACTGGTTCAAGAGCAGCATAGTAGATAAATGCTGCTTCTCCATGTTTAACCTTTACCTTTGGCAGGACTAACTGACAAGTTCCTAATGATCTCAGAGTTCGGCTTGGCTCATATCGCTGCAACATATAAAACAGATATGTTGGTCCTACACCATTGAGCGATTTGTAGACCAGTAATAGTACCTTAAAGTCTACCCTGTAACAGACTGGTAGCCAGTGTACTGATTTAAGAGCAGGGGTGATGTGTTCCCTTCTTTTACGCCTAGTGAGACTCTGGCAGGCACATTTTGAATCAACTTGTGGGTGTCCAGTTAGGAGACAATTACAGTAATCAATCTTGCTAGAAGTGTGTGAATGAGTTTCTCCAGGTCTGCTTTAGTCAGAAAATCTCTAATCTTGTTGATGTGCTAAAACTGAGATCAGAGTCTATTAGTACACCAAGGCTACGTGCTAGTTGTTTCAATTTTAGGGCTCTCAAATCCAGATAGGCAGCTAGTCTGCGCCTCTCATTGCTTTTCCTGAATTAAAATATCTTTGTTTTATCTTATTTTACTAGAAAACGTTTTTTTCCCCATCTAGTTAGTGATGTGCTCAAGGCACTTATAAAATAAGTCAAGGGTATCACCTGTATAGCTGTGGTAAGATACTCCATAGTCTTTTAGTATTTCGCCAAGAAGAAGCATATATGAATTAAACAAGAGCAGCCCAAGAATTGAACCCTGGGGAACCCAAGGGACATCAGCATATCTAGTCTGTACTCCTGTCATTGATTTAGAGGCATATGCTACAGTCTGCCAGTCTTCTTCATATTTTTCCAGTAGTACTGCACCTAAACCAGTCTTTGATGCATCAAATGATATTTTCAAGGGTCTTGCAGGATCATCAAATCTTAACACTGGCTCCTCAGTCTCCTTGAGCCATTGCCATGCTTTTTCTTGCTCCTGTTTCCTTTCCCATTCATTTTTCTCTGTTAGCCATCTAAACAGTGCAGTCTTTTCCGAGAGGTTGGATACAGACTTTCCCACATAACTGATCATCACAATGAACCTCTGCACATCTTTCTTGCACTGGGGTCTCAGTATGTTTTCAGTGGCTGACTTTCATTGGATTGCACTGAATCCCTGTGATGGTGCATTCCTATGGTCAAGAATGACAAGACAGGGGTCTGATTTCGTCTGCTTTGCTTTCCCCATGAGCCGTTTTGCTGTTTTTACTGCAGACTGCTTTACCATTTTTAAGGATATGTGGGTGATGATGTCACATGCTTAAAGTCCCAGTCTTTGCTGAACTGTTTGAATTACCGGGAGCAATACTGCGGCCCATTATCTGAAACTACAACATCTGGAATACCGTGTTGTGCAAAGTGAGCTTTCAGCTTGTGAATAACAGTGGCTGAAATTGCATCTGGAAGATGGTGGACTTCCTAAAAATTTGAGAATCAACTGTGATCAGATAGTCTTTGCCCACAGCCTCAGTGGAATGTCATGTGGGCACAGTGTCTCTTTCTGTTGCCTTGTGTCTGTGGCCCTGCACACTGCACAATTTCCTATGTATGTTTTCAGGGTCTCTGACATTCCTGGCCAGTAAACCCATTCCCTAGTCCAGTGCAGACAGCTTTCAATACCCAAATGGGTTGAATGTATTCTCTCCATAATTTCATGTCTCATACTGGCTGGAATTACTGCTGGAATTACTGCTGAAACGAAAGGTCTCGCCATCTCTGTCTCCCAGCCCAGTCTCTGTCGAGTCACACTGGAGGCTAAGGTGTTCCTCTGGGTCATAATATTTCAAGACTGGTGCTGTAGCAATTGCATTGTTCGGTTTTTTTGAATGCACTCTCCTGCACATCTGTCCACTCCCACACAACATCTTTGTGAGTCAGCTGCCTCAGGACCTCACAGTGCTGCTAAGTGCTTACAGAATTTGCTGAGATAGTTGACCCTGCCAAGCAGCCTCTGCAGACCTTTAACATGCGTTGGACTTGGCATTTCTGAATTGGCTCAGCTCTTCTCACGGTCTATTTTTAACCCTTCTGACGTCAGTCTGTGGCCAATGTAAGGCACTTCACTTCACGGCAGCTTGAATGTATCACCATTCAGTTCAACGTTGTGCTCCCTAACATCATGGTCTTTCACAGCGTCTTCCTCATTTTCACTCTCACCAATGATCAGGATGTCATCTACAATGCTCCAGGTAGTGTGTCTAAAGCCTGTGTGAGCCTGTGCTGGAACGCTTCTGGTGCCGGGATAATTCCCATTGGCATTCTTAACTACCTATATCTACCAAAGGGTGTTGCAAAAGTTGTCAAGTAGCTTGACTCATCTGTCAGCTGCACATGCCAGAATTCATCCCTCACATTGCATACAGTGAAAACTCTAAGTCTCTAAACTCGAAGTAAGTTTGGCTAAGTCTGGTAGAACATCATCTATTGTAGGAAGAGGGAAATGTGCCTCACTGAGGCACGTAGCAGTTCTCATCCTGTCTCCCCTATGAGATATTTAAAAACTTTTCCCATCTTATGCAATGTCAATATACAGGGTGAATTCATCTTTCCACGACTTCCATGTTTTGGACAGTGAATTGGTGAATTCCAGTCCAGCACCAGGGGTGGCTTCAACCCGAATGCGCCATCCATGCTTTTACCTGCGTCTGCTTATAATGCTTCTCTAAATGGGCTTCTCTCTCTTTTCGGTCGTAGATTCCACTTTACACCACTGCAACCATGTTTTATGCTGTCTTTTGCGTTTCAGACTAGCATAACAAATAATGGAGTCAGAAACAGATTCTCTGCATCTCTGAACTCATTACTGGCTGCCTACTTTCAGTTCAACTCAAAAACAGCGCGACAGTGTCACACTTACACTGGTCCATGCTACAACAACATTTTTCAGTTTTTACTGTTCCTATTGTTACATTGTGAGGCTACAGACTTGAATCCACCACTGAAGGAAATGGAATTTCTCCCAAAGATATACTTTGAAGAATACAGTCATCCATTTGCACATTATTACTGTAGCTCAATAGACATACGGAATGGTTATGTTTCAGCCTGGACACCATAAAGAGGGAGTGGTTTGATGTGAACACTAAAAAAATTTGAGTTTGCATAAGAAAATAAATCTTAGTGCCAATTTCCACTTTTTTTCTTGTTCACTTAACGTCCGTTAATAATTAGATACACTGACTGTCATTCTTTTGTCAGAAATAAAAGAATTTTGTTGAGTCCTAAGAAGTACAACTAGTCAAAACTCTTACTCACACCCGCTTTTCTTCTTTCATTACATTATTTGGCAAAAGCTTTTATCCAGAGTGTCATAAGGCTTTAATCATGTTACAGAGGCAGGCGAATGCAGTGCTAGGCATCTTGCTCAAAGACTTGTTTTGATGTAGCATGGCATTCCTGCTCAAGCAGGGAACTGAACCCTCGTCTGCCCTGTGATGAGCAGCGGTGGTAACCATTATACTACACCAGCCCCTCATAGTACAGGACAGATATTGGCATGTTAAAGACAGGCTGGTTGACTGTTGATACTTGTACATAAAGGAGTGTGATCTTTTTAAGGATATTTGCTTAGTTAACTTAACAAAATTCAATATAAGTTATGTGTTTTACAGTCCATCATTCAAAGCTTAAAATTTGTAATGTACAAGTCACACGGCATGTCAACATCAGTACTAAAAAATAGAGTGTAGTTTATATATCCTGCATTCAATGACCCACTGGTATTCTTTGCAGGGATTGGTGTAGTATAGTGAGTAACACTGCTGCCGATCGTACAACAGATTAGAGTTTTATGATACACCAAAAAGAGGCCTTAAGCAAGATACGACATTCATCTACTTCTACAACTTGACTAGTTGTATTTCCTAGGACAATAAACATTCTTATGTTGGGGTGGAGGTTAGGGAACCAGTCTTGTGACTGGAAGGTTGCCAGTCCGATCCCCTGAGCCAACAGTACGTGACTGAAGTGCCCTTGAGCAAGGCACCTAACCCCCAACCGCTCCCTGGGCGCTGTGGATAGGGCTGCCCGCCGTGGTAGTGTGTATGTGGTGTTCCACTGCATGGATGGGTTAAATGCAGAGGTGAAATTTCCCTGTTGTGGAACTAATAAGGGTCACTTAATCACTAAGATTTAGATTTATTTTGTTGTGTAAACTCAAAATTTTTTAAAGTGGTGTGATGCAGTGAAACTTACTGAGTTCTTGCTTTACAGTGGTGGTGATAGGAACCAGGGGTCACAATGTCTACAATGCATTTTATTCACTATCCTAAAATCTGAAAACTGAAATCTAGCACTGACCCTACATGTTCTTCAAAAAAAGTTTTCTTTGGGGACTATTTTGCCTTACAACACCCTGCAGGTAGCTCTCTGCTATGAATTTTAGAGGCATTTGGCAACCAGACATTTCTGGTTCCTATCGCCAACACTGTGAACACTTTTGGCTGGGTGTATTTCGCTAGAACGGAGCTTTTCACATCAAACCACTCTGAATGACTTTTCATCTTAATGATCTAACTGTGCAGACACTTCTGTGAAATTCATATTTAATTGTTTGTCCTAATTTTAATCAGAGTTCCTATGACATTTTATGGCACTTTATGGAAGTCGACATAGATCCGACCTCAGAGCACATCCTCCCTCTCGCCCATGTTAACACGACCCCAGTCCACTCACCTCCAGAGCCAGCTCCTCAATCTCAAACTGCTTCTGCGAGACTCTGCTGGACCCGACGTGCTCATGGTAGTACACTACCATTACATCATACTTTCTCATGACAGATTTATAATTCTTAACGTTAAGGTTATGAACACGATCCTTTCCATCGTACTCAGGGATGACCATGCCCTCGTGACCCCATGACAGCTGTCCAAAAGACAACAGGAACAATGAGATGACCAGATTCCACTTCATGGCCAGGTGTTTAGCATGAATGGTAATAAATCCAAAGAAGTCAAAAGAAAGCAAAATAAAAAAATTAAAAAAAGAGTGTATACAGGGCTTGTAATCGCTGACGCCCAGAACAGAATGAGACTAAGTCCTGTGCCCTCATGAAACCCCCACACTCTGGCAGAGAAAGCTGTAGAGTGGGTTTAGGTGAGTGTAGGGGTTGTATGCTGTGACATGGTGAGGGGCATGCTTGTAGGGTGGGGGAAATGTGAGTTTAAAGTGGGAGTCTGGACTTGGTCCACTATCACTGAATACAGCACGGGGTCATTCAGGGACAAGATGGAGAGATGCACCTCACACACTTCACTGTGGTCTTTTTGGCTATGTACATCATTTAATGCCGGGTCAATAGGTGTATGTGGACCATTCTACCAAATTTGTTTAAAGTCAGAGTTGAAAACACATCTTGGCTTTTAACTCACTTCAACTTTATGCTAATATTCTTTTGCTTTAAGTGACCCTTTACCTTAATTATGTTTACTTTATTAAAATAAATGACTGAAGATTCCATTTTGTCTCTATCACAAGAATTATAACTTTACCAAAACTTTACCAAATGTTTCGGTAGTGACTGTTTTGGTAGTGACAAGTTCAGCTAATTTAAATTTTAGAAACAATAGCCAGTACATGACTAGCAAACACAACTTTGAACAGCTGTACACATATAAAATTATTGTATTTTTCATTAAGACACCAAAAGTTTCCGTTAATTGAAAAAATGATGTGTTTCGTAGTGACAATTCTTAATATTATGCACTGATTTTCAGATGTTGAGACACATTTACTTCAAAACTAACTGCTCACCATGTGGCCATGAGGGACAGGGATGCAGTCTCACTTCCTGCTCTAAAATACAGGGGTGAGGCTAAAATGAAGCTCCGTCTATGGACTAAAACTCTTGTGTTTCGGTGGTGACTTGAACACACAGGACAGCATTTGTTGAATAAGCCTTTTTTTAGATGCTAATTTAGACGTATCAGTTCCACCCATCAGTTAGCGCTCCCCTGTCACACGCTACCACCAGTGCTTGGGGGGGTGAAAGCTAGCACAGACTTCCTCCGAGGCCTGTGTGCCACTGCATCTTTTCGAGCTGCTGCTAATGCGTTGTCACTGGACAACTCAATGCGCTTGAAGGAAACTTAACTTCCCACTCACCATAATTTTCTCCAGCAATAATGATAAAAAATTATAAAATCATTTTCTCACCACAAATTTTCCTGACCATAAGAGGATGTGTTACCAGTGTGCATGAGTATGTCTTGCTGCAAGATGCCACAAGATTAGTTTACAAATTGAAAGCAGAGAGGTTTGCTTTTAATAAAATTCTGCAACTTGATCTTAGAACCCATTCCGTCATCTTTATATAGTGGCCTGTGAAGTTAATCCTTACTGAGATTGACAGAGGCAGAGGGGCAGAGTAGTGTGTGTGTGTGTGTGTGTGTGTGTGTGTGTGCACATTCAAATGTAGAAGACTGACTGCTTTATCTGGCCAATGGCACAAAGAGTAAAAGATATGTTCCTGAAAGTAGAGATTAGTAAACTGTGTTTGAACTGCATTAAATTGAAAACATTATAACACAATAAACACAACATGATATTTTATAGTATATAGTGTATCTTATGACCTTTTGATTTCTTTTTGTTAATATGCAGTCATTCCAAATAGACATATATACCTGCACATTGGGACAGGAACATGTTCACATCACCTTTAATTTTAATAACACTTATTAAAGGTTTGAGGACTGGAGACATCAATCGATCCAGTTTTGAAAGTGTAATTTTTTACCGTCCTTCATTTATACAAGTCTTCAGCTCTGCAACCGTACAGGGCCTACATTGTCATATTTTGAGCTTAATAATGTACCACACATTTTCAATAGGAGACCGGCAGGCCAGTCTCTGATTATGCAACTATGCTGTTGTAAGACTTGCAGAATATGGCTTGGTGTTGTCTTGTTGAAATAAGCCTGGACAAGTTACCCACTAATATCCCTTCCATACCCTCAGAAATGTTGGCCTTTAAACTTTAGGCTGGTAGCAATCTGGATCGTCCTTTTACTTTTTGGCTTAGAGAACACAGCGTTGTAAACAATCTGAAAAGTTGACTCATCAGAACACAATACATGTTTCCACTGTGCAGCCGTCAATTTCAGATGAGCTTGAACCCAGAGAAGTCGGCGGCATTTCTAGACATCGTTGTGGCTTTCGCTGTGCATAGAACAGTCTTCACTTGCATTTGTGGATGCAGTGATGAACAGTGCTTATTGACAACGTTTTGTCAAAGGAATCGCAAGCCTATGTGGTGATGTCCATCACAGGTTTTTACAACAAGCTACAATTCCATTCAAAAGCCAGAGCCCACCCCTCCCTTATTTATTCATTTCCAATCAACAGTCATTATACATACATACATACATCATCTAAACCGCTTATCCTTCTGGGTCGTGGTGGGGTGCTGGAGCCTATCCCAGCTGTCATTGGGCGGAAGGCAGGATACACCCTGGACAGGTCACCAGTCCATCACAGGGCAAAAGTTATAGAAGTTATTTATTTTTCAGGAAATATTACTGAGGAGATGAGATAGATGAGATAATCTATCATGTCCATTTGTATAAGCAAGGGGAGAGTTGAAGGAAAATACTAATAGTTTAATATTACTTTCCAAAACTGAAGTTTGAAAATCATTCAGATCACTCTGCTGTACATTGGACTTTGTGGATCTTCTTTCAGTCTTTTTGTACCATTGTGTATGTTGAGTCTGATTTACAGCACATTATTGACTAGCTGGGTCCCCTCCTGGTACAAACCATCTCTCACTCCTCCCAGGCACACATGCACATATAAGACATTTAGCCTTTTAAATCAGTCCCACTTAATATATGAAACATATTTATGATGTGATAACAACACACCAGAATGTGTGGTAATGAATAGTACTGAATAAATAGTATGAATAGGTTAGTGCTGGTTAGCACAGGAATGATTCTTCATTTGTAATCACAAAGGCTGCAGGGCAGGCAGTAGATGAGTTAAGTCAGGTGATATTCAGCTGAAAATATTTGGTGGCTGAAATTTCAGCGCATCCCTACGTATAAATGAATCTATCTGTCAGATCTCTTTTTCACCATGTTATCTACAATTAACAGACCATTAACAGGAGATATATGGAATCTCAGATCAGCGAGATAGAGGAAAGATGGTGGCATCCAGAAATGGCCAATCAGATTTCCCTGGCCACACCAGCCACCGCTTTAAAACTGCGCATGCTCCCAGGGTATGCCACCTTTTTGGGTGGAAAAAAAAAAATTAATTCCATGCAGTACAGACTTCAAGACACATTTGCATCCCTGTTTACAGTCATATTTTTAGAGTAATATTTTAATTTCTATTTTTATTCCCCAGCAATACAGATATCAAGTATCAAAATTGTAAACTTGAATGTGTGAAATTTTGAATTAATCCTTAAATTACATAATATTTTAAACAAATATTATATAAAATATATTGAAAAAATACATATTGAAAACTATATTATCACAGTAGAATCTGTCAAAATATTGTTAAACCCTTAGATAGCAATCAGAATTTGCATGTAAGCATAGTTTACAAACATACATAGTCTTAGGTACTTTCAAATGTAGCTATTTACATTGTCTGGACAAGGTTGTCCCAGCACAACCTTATTACTAAGTAATGTTTCCATGTGTTATTATGACAACGTATTGGCAACTCAGCAAGATTCCATGGAGTTCCACACACAATGGAATGGAACGTATGACAACTTACTGACAACCTCTCTATGTTGTCACAATGTTGTCAAAAGATGTTGTCATAACTTTCTGAGGAATTACATTTCAATGTTATGACAACATTGTGGGCACTAAAACAATAGGTTATCACAACCTTTTCGGAGAAACTGAGTCAGAATTGTTCACAGTGATGGGAACCAGACATCCGAAGAGTTTAATGCCTCTAAAAGCACCTCGTGGAAAGTTATTACATGAAATGGTTATGAATATGCTACTTGATGCCCGAGACATTGTTTTATGATAGTTGTTTGAGTTTTGGCCTAAAATGTCTTGTTAATCCATTCGTTTTAATCCTTTCAGGTTGGAGGGGTACATTCAGGGCATTGTGAGGCAAATAGTCCATAAAGATAATGTATAGTTTTCAGATTTTTCATTATTTTACCATCATCAACATTACATATAAAACTCAGAAACTCAGTATGTTCACTGCTGGTTTTGAAAAGTAAACAAAACGGCTATATTTGTGTTGTAGACATTACGACCTCCGGTTCCTATCTCCACCACTGAGTCAGTAAGTTTCTCTACAATGAACCATCAAACCACTCTGATTGACTTTGTTTTCATCTCAATAATTGGAATTATGCAATATTTTTTTAAATTGGTGGAATTCCCCTTTGAGTCAGTGTGTAAATAATGTGAGAGGAAGTGAAAATGTAACATTTAATGTATTATTTTAAAGGGCCCATATCATGGAAAACCTATTTTTTTTTCTTTTTTGGAAGAAAAAGTGTGATGTGGTATTTTCCTCAAGTATCTCCAAAGCTATCAAAACTTTTTAAATTTGTACCCGCTACCAAATCTTTGTATCTTGATATGGAATTGCTTCTTTTTTATTTAGTTATTTTTTCAGTCTGTATGACATTCACTGTTTCGTCTTCGGTGTTTTGTATACTTTTCTGACACTTCTGATAATGCTAGCTTTCTACTGCCCAGAATTTGTTTGATGTAGAAAAATAGAAAGGTATTGTTAAGTTTTCATTGATTCCTCAATGTAATAAACAATCCCTCTACTTTCCCAAAGTACAGGAAGTTCCTGCAGGAATGGCTACAAACACGGTGGGCGCCCTCTGGCGTTTAAAGGTTTAATGGGAGGAATGGACAGCGGCCAGGCTTCCCATGAACTGAGTAGCATGGACCAGAGAATTTGTAGAGAGGAGAATTACTCTATAATGTCTTCTGGGTTTCTCAAACGCTAGAGGGCGCTCCCGAGTCCCAAATGAACGGGTTAATGTGGAGCATTTGAGGAAAATCATAGTTTAAAAATGCTTAAACATTTTTATATAGAAGAATGTGTTCATT